TGTGATCCCTTCCCCTAGTCAAGGATAAGATCTACTGAGATGTCTGTAGCTCTACTTGGGAGACATGAGGACATTTTCTCGGAGTTGTCCCAAGTAGGTACCACTCACGGCGTGGAATACACAGGCTGGGATGGAAGAATAGCCCCCCCCCAAGGTCAGGTTGGGATAGCTGTGGTCACTCAGGACAACAGGGAACAGCTGTGGATTTGCAAAGAGCACAAAGACTGGAACCCGAAGAGAGGAACGCGGACCAATGGGACATCTTGGAACAGGGACACATCCGTTTTGGCACAAGATTAGCAGCTCTCTGCAGGAAGGCAGAAACTCCACAATCCCCCCCCATTCCCCCACCCCACCCCCACATCCATGAAGATTATTAGCCAGTGCAAGTCCTGAAGTTTGTTCAGTCGTGGCTCGACCCCAGGAATGAACACGGGCCTTCTAAGCAGCTTCTGTAGGAAGCAAGTTGAAGACTCAAGCCCAACCTTTCCTTGCTTTCAAGACGAGAAAAGTGAACTTTGGAAGTGATGTGCCTGGCGTCTCACAGCTATTCAGGGAGGGTTACCATTCTACTGAGGACAGGGTTAAGGTTGAGCTTTCTTAAATATTCCTCTATCCTGCGAGCCCCCCTGAACTCTCTAGCCCTGGGGAGGCTCACGGCCCACTGTCACTGGAGGATCCCTTAGGGCCTGGCCTCTGGCCTCACCCCCTGCCCCCAGCAAATCTGCACCAGTGGAAATCTTGCCTGGACTTGCCTCCAGATCCAGACTGGTGGGTGGGCCGAGATCAAATCTCATCCCTGGAAGGCCCATTATCCCCTTTCAGGGGCCCAGTTTAGGGTCCTCCCCCTAAAGCCTCCTTCTCCTTTTAGTGGATGGAAAGGGGAGGAAGAAGAGGAGGGGAAACGGGAGCATTGGACGATGAATGAAAGATATCAGTGTGGGAGCAGAGAAGGGTTTATCTCGTCCACCGTTTTAAAGTCCAAAGCAAGCTTGAGTTATCAGGAAACCATCTTCCAGGCAGGCACCTCGCTTTCTCAACCACCTAATGCAGACCCCGTGCAGGTTGCCCCTGCTTCCCAAGAGAACAAGCAAGCGGATGGGCCGTGACACCTACAGTTAGGATGGAAGGGCTATTGCCCCGACTCAGTTTGTTTTTGAGAGACACACACACCCTGCAAGCATCCTCAGTATTACCGTCACCATCACCATCTCAACCATCACCGTAACTGCCATCACTACTTTCATCCCCCCCATCATCGTCATCTTCACGATTTCTGTTGTCACCGCCCCCTCACCATCGTCACGACACCGGTACCACTCCCATCCCTGTCACCACGATGACCTTCATTACCTCTGTCATCACCAGCCAGATTTCCTTTCTTACACAGTGTCCTGGTGTGCTCAACTGACTTTGCTCTCAGGGCTGGAGACCTGGCTCACAGGCTTTAGAAGGTTCCCTGCATGGAGCCCCGGACGGCAGACACTGCCCTGCTCTACACAGTAGTGAGCCCAGTCCTCCCTAGTGCCTGCCTGAAGCCTGGGCTTCCACTGGCTTGGGATCCAGCACAGCTGCTGGGACAATGGAACTCTTTGCTGAGTCGGCAGGCCTCGTGTGTTTGCTCTCTATGCCTGCCTTCCCTCAGTCTTCTCCACCCTCCCACCATCCCTAGAGTCGAGTGGGAACGTTTAAAGGGACACTTTCCCCTTCACAGGGACAAAGCCCATCTCAGAACACTCCCAAAGGACCCTTCCTCACCAAACGTTGAACGTTTTGTGTCCGTTTGCCAGCCACAGACAGAATTTTCTAGTAGCTATATCAGGAGCAATCAGAAGCAAGAGAAGTTGACGTCAATGGTATGTTTTCTTGAACACAAAACACAGTCTAACTGTATCCTGTCAACAGGGTGAGGGTAGGAATTAGAGTCTGC